TCTGTGGCCCACAGTTTGCAGGGTGTTTGTGGGTGAAGTGACAGCTCGAGTTGCTCTGCTTGGAAATGATACCTGTGGAATGACACATCCTTGTTGGTGTCTCCTGAGGGTTCATTAGTCCCAGGAAATGGGGCAGCACAGAGGGAAATGTCTGCACTCCTCACTTCCTGTGTGCTGTGTCCAGCAGCCTCAGAGCCAAAGCAGGCTCAGTGCTAAGTTGCTCTGACTGGAATTTTCTCTTCCCAAATTTCCCTACCTTTGGTTAACTCCCATCTATTTTTTTCCCCTCTTTGTCTCAATCTCTCAATCTCAATTCATTCCACACCTGTCTTAAAATCCTATCTTTCTCCACCCATCCCTTTTTTTCAGTATCTTATCTCAGTTTATTTTATTTAGTCTTATTCCCTCCTAACTAATCCCAGCTCTTCAAAACTATGGAACATATTACAGGTTGGCTTTGCATTCTTTTTCTCTTTGTGCTATCAATCTTTCCTACCTGCATCTGCTTTGTATGACATGATGAGGCAAAATGTGTGTGTTTGTGTCTTGGTGTTTTATTTTTAAATTGTTATAGGGTTGCTTTTTAACACATTTAAATTTACAATAATAATAATATATGTTTATATTAATTTATTCAACATTGTTGAAAACAATGTCTATTGCAATTTTATGTATGAAGTTTGGGACTTATTTAAGCAAAAGGAAGTGATAAGTCCCTGAACTTATCTGTAGCCTTTCCCTTATTCTTCTGTGTTAAACTGCACAGTAAAAACTAATTTCTAAATATTCTGGCTTGTTCTTCTGGATCCTGTGTGGAAGCTTTAATCCCATGTCTGAACTTCAACCACTCTGAGGGCTAAAATCCATCACAAACATTATGTTGTTCTTAGTGCCAGAATAATCTAATATTGATTGTTTTAGTTGAAAGAAATGGGCCTTTTGTTTATGTATATTATACAGATTTTGGTAATTGGCAAATTTTAGGAGGAAAATGCAAGAATTGTACATCCTACTATATTGGGAATTTAGAGAATAATTGGATTAAATGTTCAAACTTGATGTCTTCAGTATGAAATTATATATCCATATTATATATATATTATATAATATATGCATACATGTATATGCACACACACACACACATATATATATATGTATATATATAAAAAGACATATATGGTATATGTGAATATACTGTGTGTATATTCATGGATGCAGAAAAAGTAACCTGATGAAACTGGAGGTATATATGCATTAACATGGAGATTAGAGAAGATCTTTAATATTTGCATTTATATTTGTTGCAAAGTGTTTTGGCAATAAAGTTATGGAGTGGTTAATGAATCTTTAATCATCACAGTTTAATCAAGGTATAACGCACATAAATGCCAAATGTTATTGTCCTTATTGCCTAAATTAGGTAAGTGAGCTTGCTCTCTGTTGTTTCAGTTTTCCTTCTGACTTGGTGACCATTTCCTTTGTGCTGAATTCCTTCCTTTAGTTCAATATCCCATCTCACTTTATTTTATTTAAAATTTTGTTCCAGCAGCTCTGCCACCAAGTGGGGGCAGCTGCCAGGCAGGAATGTTCAGCAGGACCAAGAAGTGGAAGATGAAGAAGAAACTGATGCCTGTGAGGAAGCAGAAGAAACCCCAGAAGTGCATCAAGAGAGTAAGAAAAATATATTCTCTGAATAGACTGGGAGTTATCCAGAAAGCCTTTGCAGACTTAATAAGGAATTAAGTGGCTCCATATTCCAGCCTGTGCCTGCAGTCACTGCAGAGAAACAAGTTCACTGTGTGTCATCTGCTGTGTCACAGCTGTGTGTGCTTTGTATCCATTAGAGGGGCCCTGGGGCATTTTTTTCCTGTTGCTTGATTTTATTCCTAAAGGATTGGCTCACCTTCTAATCGGTTACTTGGATTTCAGCTCCAGTCTTGCAGGAGGTAGATTGATAGATGAGTAGTTTGAGCACACTTTAAGGAATAAGCTTAAGGTTTAAGAAATAAATTTACAGCTCTAAATCAAGGCAGAGGTGACAGATGGTTTTGTAAAATTGTTTGTACTGTCTGATAATTTTACTGTAGTCGTGGAATCACAGAATGGGTTGGAAGGGACCTTAAAGATCATCCAGTTGCAGCCCTGCTGCCAAGGGCAGGGACACCTTCCTCTAGACCAGGTTGCTGAAGCCCCATCCTTCCTTACTCGTCAGTTTGGTTTGATTTTTTAAAAAAGACTTCATGCTACAGTATTTTATTGTATTTAAATATGTTCTCCTTTCCTTTTTCAGAAGAGCCAAATGGTTTCTCCAAAGGTGTCACTTCAGCTGAGGTGACTACTCCAAAGCCTGGTGAGTAAATAATTCATTCCAGGATAAAAGAATGACACCTTTGTCATTCTTCACAAATCTGCTCCTGTTTTTTATCCTTTATTCTCCTATTACTACCTAAATTTAGTGCATAACAGTATTGTCAAAATTCACAGAATGATGGGATGGCTTAGATTAGAAGGGACCTTAAAGCTCACCTCATTCCACCCCCCTGCCATGAGCAGGGACAGCTTCCACTATCCCAGGCTGCTCCAAGCCCTGCCCAGCCTGCCCTGCTCACACAGATTGTTTTTAAGAGGTTCCCTATTCCTGTCCTCACTACCTAATGGTGTTCACAGCACTGCTCTGATTCCCTCAGCTGTGCCAAATGCTGAATCAGTGCCAGCCTGGCTCTGCCATGAAGGCTTTCTTTGGGACAAGGGACAAATGAGAACACAGATCAATGGATTTGTTTCACTACTCACAGGCACATTTATTACTTGCAAAGCAGAGTGAGAAATCCTGAGCTAGAGCTGTGAGTGTGGGCAGGCAGGGGCAGAATGTGACCTCCTGCAACCTGCCAACCCTTGAGCAAGAATAATAGGAGTGGAAACGGATTTGGGAGTGGAGGAAGTGCTGGGTCTTCCTCTGGGTTTGTATTTTAAGCTGTTGGTCCTGTGTGGCATTCCTGATAACTAAGAATAGCTGAGCACGTACAGCATAACCTTCACAGGGTTATTAAAGTGTCTTTCTACTCCTCCAAAATGTGCACATTGCCTCAAAGATTTGGGAATATGTGTGAGTGCACACATTTTTACATTCTTTTTTCTCTCCTCTGAAACAGCTCTGGTTGCATCCAGCAGCAGAGGACGGGTGAATCCATTTAAGGTGAGAATTTTGCAGCTTCGATTGTGATACTCTGAAAATCACAACAGATTCTGTCTGCAGTTTCCAAAATAATAGATACCTTGGAGGGGAACATGACAGAAAATAAATAAAACACCTATTTTCTTTGTTTTGCTAGGTGTCATCCAGCAAAAAGGAGCCAGTGGTCCCCTCAGGAAATGTTTTGGACAATATGACCAAGTATTCAAAGAAAACATCTTCATCTGGCAGTCGAGCTGCAGACAAGCAGAACCCTCCAGTTATAAAGCCTCTGACTCCCAAACCCAAGACCAAGCAGGTAATGTTTGTAGTCTTTCTTGCATCATTTCAGTGAGGAAAGAACAAAAAATGGAATTTTACCAGCTTTTATCAAGTATGAAACCCTGTGAGTAAAGCAGCTTAGATGGCAGAATTCATTTAAGCATAGTGCAAAGACTATGACAGCACATAAAACAGCAGGAAAAAAATCAGTTTTAGAAATTAGTTTCTGTAGTGAGCCTTGTGCTTTTATTTTAAATAATGTAAACATCTGCTGTGCTGAAATTGGATGGACTAGATACTCTATTAATGCAAGTGATTATTATGTCTTTAGGAAAGGCTTGGGGTTTATTAGGCTACATGGTACATGTTGTCTGAGAGTGAAGTGATTTTACCTTTTTCTTTCTCATTCTCCATTTCTGTAGGCTTCAGCTGCCTCCTTCTTCCAGCCCCGCACACCTGCATCTAATCCTAGGGAAAAAACAGTGGAAGAAAGAGAAGAAAAAGCAGGAAATGAGTCCCAGGAAGCCAAAGTCACTGCACAGGAAAACACTGAAAACAGAAGGTGAGAGACACTTGCATCTCAGTGCCATATTCCAATTCTGATAGAAATGCAAGTCCAAAATCTGTTTTATTTCTGAAGATGCTGGACTTGCCAAAGAAATGTAACACCAAGATTAAAGTTCAGCTCACAAGTTGTCACATTTGTGAACCCACTTGAAAAATGTGGGAGGGAATAATAAATGAGCAGTTCAAAATATAATTTTGGGGCTCTAAGCAACAATTTTTGCCTTGATACTGCTTGTAATGACCTTTGATAAATGAAACCATGCTTCTGTGACAGTCCCAAGCATAGGAAATAGTGGAAATTTCAACAGCTCTAGAAAATCACAGTCTCAAAGCTAAGGGTCTTATGTGAAAGAGTAAAAACTTTATTTTGGTGGGATTTTTTTAAAAAGAAGGTCAACAAAATCTTCAGTCACCTGAGGAGTTCATCTCTTCCTAGCTAAGGCTCTAATCTGTCATGTTCCTGGGAAGCAGATGGATTTCCTAACAACCCCAATCCTCATGAAAGCTGCATTATTCCAGTCATGTTTCATTTAGGCTTCATTTAGCTGAGGAAGATGAAGGTAATTATTACTCATTTGGTCTGGCATTCTTTCAGTTAACCTTTACAGATGATGTTCTACAACAAGTGGCAAGGAGAGCTGTGAGAAATGAACGTGCTCTGTTTTTAGCTTGATGGGACCCTGTCAGAAAGGAGGAGAACCATTATGCTTTGTCATTCTAAAAATGTTCATCTCCATATATATATCACAGTTTTAATAAAAATGCTTGGCTTAGTCAGCATGTTCTGAGAGCATCCTGCATGGGAGAGAGGAGGCTGCTGCCCTGAGAGGTCTTCTGAGAGCAAAAATACCACTTAGGTGCTGCTCAGAGATGTTGTTTTGGGAGGATGTGGTTTTCCTATAATCTTCTTAACCAGCCAGTTTTTGTGTGCTTGCTTTAGACCAAGGACAGGTTTCCAGATGTGGCTAGAGGAGAACAGAGCAAACATTTTGACAGATAATCCTGATCTGAATGAAGCAGAGGTAATAAAAGAAGGAATGAGTCGATTTAGAATGCTGACATCAGAGGAAAGGATGGTAAGAAAACATTCTCTAATTCTGTGGGTTTGATAGTTTTTTTCTCTCCAGTGAATCCCTGGGTTATTTTCAGTTAGGATTTTTTAATGGAAATTCCTCTCTTATCCATCTTTATGGATTTCAGTTTTTAATCATGCCATGGTCTATGACATATAATTTATGAAAATATAAACTGAATTATAAGCAATATCAAAAAGCAGCTTTTCCAAAGTGAGGCTTGTGAGGGGAATGTAATCAATAAACAAATAACAAAAGGAATGAGCTCAAAGTCACATAGCCAGGCTTAATTCAGTGGGGATTCAATTTGTTCTCATTTAACTTGTTGAATCTTTTGTGTTTCTCATTTCTCCAGAAAGACAATTTAGAGCTTCAATTTCATATACAGTTTCAAAAGAAGTTCAGTTGTGAAGGAGAATGTTGTTAGAAAAAAGGAAAGTGAAGAAATAGTTCCTTACTTAATCCCTATTAGTTCATCACAGGAATTATTTCAGTACCTTAAAATCAGATAATATAACAATGTGTATAAAACAAAGTGGTGAGTTTTGGGACCTAATTTGGAGTTTTCTGTTTTCTTCAAAGGTGTGGACTGAGAAAGCAAGAGGAGGAAGAGTCAATGACTCAGCAGAAGACAAAAAGAGGAAGCGCCCCCCAGCTGACGAGGATGAGGTGAAGAGCCAGGAGCAGAAATCTGAGGACACAAATGTATCCAAAAAATCCAAGCCTTTAGATCCATCCACAAACAACAGATTGTCAGCTTTTGCCTTCAAGCAGAGCTGAATGAAGTGGTGCCTTCTCAGTGTCTGTGTTCTGAAAGAATTCATGGAAGAAATTCCTCTGTGTTGAGGAGTTGGCTGCCATGCTTGAAGAGCACTGGCAAAAAGAGTGCCTGGCTCCAAATAGTCTGTTAGAAAGTGCTTTATTATCAATTTTTGAGAGGAATGTTGAATCCCCTCCCAGTCTTTGACAAGTTCCTGCTCATGGGCCTGTTCCCTGGCAGCACAGCCTGAGCAGAGCTGTGTGGCTGTGGGACACCCTGTGTGCCCTCATACCACTGATATTGGGTGCTGAATCACATTCATCCTTCTGGGGAGGGTAAACTATGTCCAAAATCTGCCCTGTGGTTTTAGAGAGCCAAAATAATGGCTTCCCTACCATCCCTACTGCCTTGAGAGCAAGACACTCCAGGTGTGAGGGGGAGAAAGCTGAACACCAGCAACATGTTCAGCTGCATCTTCAACACCCGTGCCATTGGCAGAGCCTGATATGGGCAGGGAAAAAAGAAATGAAAACCAGAGCAGAAACTGAGTGAGGAAGGTCAGGTGTGCAAAGCCAAACCATTCCACACTGTGCAAAGGTGCTTTCCCAATCCCTGCCTCAGCAGGATCCAGAAACTGCTCAGAACTTGGAATGTCTGTAACATTTGTGTCTGTAACGTTTGTCTCTTTAAATAAAATGGCTGTTTCTTTGTTTAAGGTGCTAGAGTCTTCTTTGCAGTTGTAATTAAAGTTACAGAAATTACAGATTTCTGCCTACCCAGCCCTAAGGCAGTCAGTTGGTTTGACCCTGCTCTGGAGACAGAGCACTATGTCTGATAAATGTATTTGAAGCAAACTCGAATTTTGAAATGTTTTCTAAGAACAGTTAAAATAATGTAACTTTTTAGCACAACAGCTGAGACTCAAAACTTCTCAAATTCAGTTTTTACACAGCCTTTCATTGCTTTCTTTTTCCATTCCTCATCATACTGACACAGGGTGCCCAGAGCAGCTGTGGCTGCCCCTGGATCCCTGGAAATGCCCAAGGCCAGGCTGGAGAGGGCTTGGAGCAGCCTGGGATGATGGAAGGTGTCCCTGCCATGGCAGGGGGTGGGAAATGGATGAGCTTTAAGGTTCCTTCCCACCCAAACCACTCTGGGATTATTACTGAAAATATATCAGTTGGACTTGATGATCTTAAAGATCTTAAACTTTAAACCTTGAAATCTGTGGATTGAAGATTGAGATTTCACTAAAAACTATTAATTTTTACCATAAAAAGTGTTTTATTAGACTATTTTAGCAATGGCTGTTGGTAATTTTTGAGAAAAAAAAAAGAGGAGGGTTGTGGTGTCAACCAGGGATGGGAAATACCAACAAAAAATCCTGAAGACCTGACAACTTTGATACTTCTGTCATCCACAGTTCTTATCTATCAATTCACAATTTATTTGTTTAAGTTGATAGTGGGCAGCAAGTAATATTTAACATAAATAATCAGGAAGAATTCTGGTTTTTCTGCATTCTTTGGGAAGAAATTATTGTATCAGACACTGGGATTTATTTTTAGCTAGGAAAGCCTATTTGGGTGTACTGTGGAAAAAATGGGGTTGCAGTGGTAAGGAAAACATCCTGATGAAAAATCACTGGGTTTGGTGAACTGAAATGTTTTCTTGCTCCTAGAAAAGGTTGTTCTGAGGGTGACTTGAGCATCTTGAGTGTGGTGCTGGGAGGTTTTCCAGGTAATTCTTGTCATCCACATCCAAAATCCATGTTTGGGTTGCTTGTCCAGAGCGCTCTGACAGAGCTGATGTTGGAAGTGGGGAAGGAAAACTTCCAAGGGATCTGGGGAGGCATCCACTGCTGCAAACAACATCCTACAGAGCATCCAAAGTCCTTTTGGCTCCCAGTGGAGGGGGGAAACAGCCAAAATAAACTTCCAGGGGAGTTTTCTGGGAGCTGGATGTTTGCAATCCCACAGTCCTGAACAAACACACCAAAGGTCAGTTTAAAAGGAGGCTCCTGGATTTAGGGGTGGTTTCATGGAAATCACTGGGGATTTTGGGCACCATCCTGCAGGGCCCTGATTTCCATGGGATTTTTTTCTCCCTGCATAACAATTTTTGCAGTGTAACATTTGTGGGTTTCATCAGACCCAACATCCCCAGCCTTGGGGTCACAGGCTGGCTCTCAGGGCAGGTTAGAGCTGGCAGAGCAGTTTCCAAAACCAGATTTGAAAATTTGCATCAGAGCTGTGTGACTGGGGGTGGGATCAGAGTTCTAGAATCAGAATTTTTAAGGTTGGGAAAGACCTCCAAGGCCATTGAGTCCAACCATTCCCTCAGGACTGCCAAGGCCACCACTGAGCCATGTCCCAAGTGCCACATCCACATGGTTTCTGAACACTTCAAGGGATGGGGACTCTACCACTTCTACTGGAATCCCATTCCAGTGCCTGACCACCCTTACAGTGAAGAAATTGTCCCCAATATCCAATCCAAACCTCCCCTGGCACAACTTGTGGCCATTTCCCCTTGTCCTGTCCCTGTTCCCTGGGAGCACAGCCCAATCCCCCTGGCTGTCCCCTCCTGGCAGGAGCTGTGCAGAGCCACAAGGTTCCCCCTCAGCCCCCTTTGCTCCAGGTGAGCCCCCCAGCTCCCTCAGCTGCTCCTCCCAGGACTCATTCCCTGGTGATTTTAGGTCCATGGCCCCAAAACAAACCCCAAACGGGTTCTTGGGATCACGGCAGTGAATATTCCAGCTGATCATCTCCCATGAGGCTGCTGGTACTTTTCTACCATCAAAGATGGGTTTTGCTCTATTACACAGCTCCAGGCAGAGCTACAAATGCATCCTCCACCACCTGGAGCCCTCCAGAGAGCTGTGCTGAGCTGGCCAGGAATGGGGTGCACTCACCCAGCAACAGCAGGACAGGCAGAAGTATAAATCCTAATTCGAGTGGAAATGAAATGCCAGACCAAGAAACAGAAAATGTGGAATGGATTTTCAGTTGAAAACAGGTAAATCTCTACTACCTGGTTTTCATTTTTTTTGTTTGTGTTTTTTTTTGTTTGCTTGTTTTCAATTTTTTTTAAACAACGTTGCTAAATAATTCAATAGAATTTCACTGAAGTCTTCAGAAATGTCTGTTTGTCCTGAATTTGCCACCTTTCTGCTGAAAAAACAGGAACTTGCTAACTGTGCCAAGGAATCTGGTTGATAGTTGTTTTTTCTTTTTGGCTGTGCTGGGAATCCCAGTGATTGGGTTTGATGTCTGGACTTGGTGATCTTGGAGGTCTTTTCCAAGCCAAATAATTCTGTGGAATGGGAGAGTCAGGATGGATCCATCACTTTTGGATTCTCAGGGTGGAGCTGGGCAAGGGAGAATCTGTATTTGGATAAGATTTCCCCTCTCAGAGATCCTCTGGCTATGAGATGCACCTCAGCTTCCTTCCAAAAAACATAACTGTGCTGCTCATGGAGAGACCTGGTGGTCCTGGCTGGATAATCCAGGGAGGAGATTAATCCAGGAGATAACCCAGGGCTGTGAGAGCTGCCTGTGAGGAAATTGGGCACCTCAAGGAGCTCTTTGACAGAGAACAGCAGATCTGGCTTCTCCCTCTCCTTGTTGTACTAAATGTGCTCAGCTGAATGCTGCCAAACAAATTTAATAGTAAACAATTTACTTAAAGGCAGACAAAACACAAATACCAACCCAGGCTGTGAAAAGAGCCACTTGATCCTGACTCAATTGGACACAAATGGCAGGGAAAATTTGCAGGAATGGTTTCAAGCCATGTGTTGCCAGGGAACAGCCTGGTCTCCAAATCACATTATCGATATCTTGGGGTAATAGCAGTGAGGAGCAATTGAGGGGAGCCATGCAGGGACACGGCTGCTGCTCCCATTTGCTGGGCTCTGAGTCCAAAGCCACCCTTGGTGATGGAATGGGATGGGATGGAGGGACCTAAAGATCATCCTGGCTGATGTCAGGTACCTTCTGTTGGGAATAACTCCATGGGAGCCACGAGACTTTTGTCATAGGTCTGGTTTCACATTCACAAATATGAATTCACCTGGTACAGCCTACCCAGGCCA